TCCAGTGCACTCACATCAGAATAACTTATAGATTTGTTGTTAGAATAATCGATTAATCGAAAAAATGATTGTTAGATTAATCGATTAGAAAATAATCGTTTGGTACAGCACTAGTTGTGATGTAAGTAAATGAGATAGGAAAAATACAAACACAATCGTTCATCAAAGCAGGTCAGGTGTGAGGTTTCTAACGAGGTCACTCATGTTACAGATGCTTAAAACATCTAAATCTAACAAAGAGAGTACCTTACAGTCCAGGAGAACGTTGTGAACACTGAGGGCTCTGTGCACCAAACCATGTTTGTTCATGAACTCCAGACCTTCAAGAACCTCGTAGGCTACCTGAAGCACCTTCTCTGGACTAAAACAAAACAAAAAAAACTGTTATGTGTGTGCAGTGGTGACTGTGCAAAACAAGATTTATGAACATGGTAATGTTTCCATAACTTAAAAGGACAAATGATGTTTCTTTACTATTTAAATATTAAGCCAAGGATTAGGTTAAAATACACTCTACAGTAAATCAGCTTCACTAACATACAGCAGCAGCTTTAAATTACACTACTCACAAGTGACAAACAATATTATTAAATACACAATACTGAGAGTACTAAATAGCATTTTTTTTTACATTACCTCGCTCTTTGTTCTTGTCTGAAATCGCCTAAATTTCTTGCGTAGTGCTCAGCCACAACAATCAGTCGTTCTACAGAGCAATAAAATAGAAATACAACAACAATAAACATATTTAAATATTACATGTAAATGTCAAGGATCAAAAATATGAGCTGCATCTGTAAACAGTAAATGTGTACTAATAGCACAACTTGTTCTAACATTAGTTTAATATAAGGCAGAGATACAGTTGCATTATATGCAGCTGTTTATTATAAACGATTATTTCTCCATATTATCAGAGTTGGGTAGTAACTATATTTACTTGAGTAGCTTTTTTGGGGGAAAGTGCCTTTAGGAGTACTTTTCCTAAGCTGTACTTTTTACTTTTACTTGAGTAATTTTATTATGAAGTATCTCTACTCTTACTTGAGTAAAATCTCTGGATACTCTACCCACTGTGAGTAACTTCACTGAATGAAGAACAATCTTGTTTTCACCAAAAATTCATCAGATACAGATAACCTGCAGTTTTCGTTAGTTTTATAAAATTTATATTGAAAGAAACTGATCTGGAAAATGTGTTTTTATTTTATTTACATGAATAATTTTCATTTTAATCTTTAAAACACCTAGATTTCCACAATGCTTTGTGTTTTGGTCTGTCTGATGATAGTATTTTTTAAATATTAATTGACTGATGTCTTGATCAGTTTTTTAGCACTTGGGTAGCCTTTACACTTACTTGAGTCACTTCTTGGATGGCTACTTTTTCCTTTTACTTGAGTACACATATGTTGAATTAGTGCTACTCTTGCTTGAGTACAAATTATGAGTACCCTACCCACCTCAGCATATTATACAGTGTTTCCCCTACCATTATACAGGCAGGGCGCCCACCCCCCGCCAACGAGACGGCCGCCCCTCTAAGAATTTCACGGCATGTAGTCTTTTTTAATTAACTAAGGCCAGATCAAGTCGAGAGCTATTTTTTTTTGCATAAATTAAAACAAAATAAATGTATTTATCTTGGCAGAAAAGAAAATCAACAGGAATAAACCTTTCTGAGGAGTTATAATGTCCTCATTTCTCGAAATAGTAATAACTCGTCAATTATTTTTTTTTTTGATGTTTGTTTTAGTGTAGTTGTGATGTACATTGTAATCAGGGACATTAGTTTATATTAGAATGAAAAAAAAAACACATTCATACACAGTGATTTATAAAAACACAAGGTTAAAATGTTTTTTTTTTTTTTTTTGAATTACCGTGTTTGCCTCTGGAAATGTCCACGTACTGGCAGAGTCTGGGGTGAGTGATGGTCTTCAGGATCTGGAAACGTCCCAGTATTTTGATGGAATTTGGAGTCAGAGGGAGGCCATTGCTGCCACAAACATCATGGGGGAGAGCTGAGGCAAAGAAGGTGAAGGCTCCCAGCTGGGCATCTTTAAGGGGTCTCATTGTGTCCCTGGTTCAAAACACACACAATGGAACATACTGTCAAACCTAAATACTGTGTGAACAATGTCAAAGAAAGGATAATCTCATCATCGTGATACAGTGACTTACAAACCATATTGCCATTACAACACGTTTTATACGCTGAGATTAATTAATGTGCAGTTAGTTAAATGAAGTGACAAGTGTACGATGATGCAAAAATAAAAAAGCCACTTCCTTTTTCTTTCTACATGATGTGTGCATTACCTTAAGCGTGCCTTCTTGCACTTAACAAAGCGGCTGTAGATTCACGTCGACAAAATCAACTTGAATGCATGTTTATGCTTTTGAAATGAATTGTTTTCCTGCTTTCTGCGAGATGACGGGAACAGCTGAGTGAACGTGATCAGTGACGATGTTTTTGTGCGACAGAGCCGTAGCGGCATTTTCTAAAGCATAGAGATTTCTGGATGTATTTATTTTAATCTTCAAAAAGTGCATTCAGTTTTTTTTTTTTTATTTATTTTTTGTGTGTGTGTGCATTTTTTGGGCCAATTTTTTAAGTTGAGTAATTACAAACAGGCATTTTGCGTTGACACCTTAGCTTAAAAGTAGATTTCTATAACACACGGATGGGCCAGCTAAAGCCAAACCGAAGGACACGCTTTTTATCTAGATGCTTTATTAGTCTAACCATTGGGACCTCATTAGCCATTAGCTGCCTGTCTGTTCACTTGTCTAAAGTTGGGCGAAAGCATTTGTCCTCTCGTCTCCCTGAAACGTGTTGTTGGTGTTGCTGCGGTACATGTAAGTCTCAGAAAAGATTCACGTTGCATTTTAATGCTAACGCTAATTTATTGAACTGCCAGTGACATCCTAGCGCTTACTTCTGTAAAAGCAGCTAAAAGTCAACATTTGTTCATTGTTGAGAAAAGTATGGTTTACAGATTTAACTGACGCAACCTTTACAATGAAACACCAGCCTTTAGGTTGCTTATTTTAACTCACTGAACAGCAATGATTAAGTATGTTTGATTAGTTTGAAAATGTATATTGTTTAACTTACCTGTGTGGTTTAGTGTCAGTACTGTAATGTCTGCAAAAAAGCTATTAACAATCAGAACTTAGACAAGAACGAAAGGAGGTAATGTGTACACTAAACATGATATTGTAAATAAAATAAAACATCAACAACTCATCTATCTATCTATCTATCTATCTATCTATCTATCTATCTATCTATCTATCTATCTATCTATCTATCTATCTATCTATCTATCTCAAATTTGGGGTCAAGACTTTACTGAGAACTGTGGTTCCTTAGATTATCTCAATAAAATTTAGACTTTTTTTTTTCAATTGCATCAGGAGATATTGATAAACTATCAGTATTTTTGCAGTTCCACACTTGCATGATAATATTTTTGCCAAAGTGATGTATTAATTAGATTAATTAACTTGTCATTGTAACTTAACACAGCAGTTCCATCCATATCATCTTAATCACATTTAAAATACTTGGTCATTTTTGTCTGCAAGTATAAAAATAAACCGCTTTTGTTTTAGAAATGCCAAGTTTGCCTTTTAACGTAAACTTCATATATATAGACTGGACTTTTTTTAAGCCTGTAGAACCTGATAATGCCTTCAGATGGTGCTGGCACACTGTACTGTCTTAAGTGTCCTGCAGTTTTCTAAGTCATGAATACTTCACCTAACTGATGGGTTTATTTATACAATACAAACAACTCACTTGTCCTATAATTGTGCTTTTATGTGTTTTGCTATTAATCAGATAAATAATTCTGTATTCATTAAAAAAACAGATGGCTTGAAGCATTCTACTGAGCTAATAATTTTAATATTATTATAAACTAGTTAATGCAGCAGAGTTGTTAAGTTTTCTTGGGGATCCATTTATATTTTGTTTTCAGATTCACTTGAGCATTTTAGTGAGTCATTTTGTTATTACTTCATTACAAGTGGTTTTTGAGTCAGTTCAGTTTTTAGAAGAAAAAAAAACTTTGATCTTTGATTTTTATCAGTTCCAGTTGTTTTTAATTTCCTCATTTCCCAGTCTTTTGTTTTCATCTTCAGCCAGCCTGTTTTTCAGCACCTCCCCGTGTAAAAAGTTTTATTTTTTCTACGCCTTGTAAAAATCTGTTTTTTTTTTCTCCCCATGTTTTGCTGAATGCAACTATATAACGGAACATTAGCTTCAAGCTCGTGTCCAGCTATGATTAAAGTTTCTGCTTACTACAGTGAAAGACAGCTATAATTCAAGACTTTTCATGAGGTCTGTAAATGTCACGCTATAAGAAACGTTCACATTTTCCTGGAATCATGGTGTTCTAATCTATTTTCTGATTTTATTATCAATAAAAAAAATCCCATTCCTTGTGTTCATTGTGGACGTTGGCAACGTTCCAACTACTTAAGTTATGCTTTAACATGTTTATGATTTTTATATGAATTTCATGATTCAGGCTTATGATGTTCAGCTTAATGCAGTCCAACAGTTTCTTATTTGTGATTATTGCAGCATAAAGTTTGGTGTCAGGCTGAAGTTTTAAATTGTACAACAGCCGTGATACCTGCAGTCCTTCACTGTGAACCTGCAACACATACGGGTGTCACGGAATTATAGTGTTCATTTTTGTTTTTGTTGAGACTAGTTGACTGAACTTTGTGGTTTGTGGTGGACTTGGACAGGAATGCAAAAACTCAAAAACAACTTAACCTTTTTGCTTTAACAAACCATCTTCAGGCAGCGTCGCAAAAGTTTAATTAAGGCAGGGAACTGGGAGGGCTAGCTATGTAGAGTCTTTCTTTGCAGAAGGGAAGACAGAAAATCCATCTCAAATGTCTGCAGAAATGCTTGACATTATATGCATGATTGAAACTCTTGTGTGTCTTTTTTTTTTATTCCTGTGTTAGGATTTTAGCTCGCTCATTAATCAAGATGTCGAGTCACAATCCGTTGCTGAGGCTGGAGCAGCGAGCAGCTGAGGCCGACCAGCTCATCGAGTACCTCAAACAGCAAGTCCAGCTGCTAAAGGAGAAAGCCAGTAAGACACAAACACATGTCTGCTCCACTGATGCCTTTATAATAAAGCTTAATACCACATTTGTCTGCATGGGAATGGGAACTTCTATATATTTTACTGAAACATAAAAAGTTTTATTATTTGTCACAAGTGACTGTTTGTGTACTGTGTGTTGTCTACCATTTTCAGAGTTACATAATGCTTGGAAAAAATGTCATTATTATTATTGTTGCTTCTGTCAGAATGAAATTTGCCACCATCAATGTTTGAATGTGTGCGTGAATGACTGTAAATGTAAAGTGCTTTAGGGTCCCCATGGGGCTTGATATAGCGCTATATAAGTTCAGTCCATTTACCATTAGAAAGGTTAAAAATGTATTTTCTTACTCCAAATCTGTTTTCTTTTCCTATAGGGGTGCAACGATACAGGAAATTCACGGTTCGATACTTTAGTCTCACGGTTCAATGTTTTTTCAATACAAAAAAGAGAAATTTCCATGCCCCTTTTAACTTGTAATTTATTTATATTAATTATGAACATTTGTTTAACCTCAAAAGTACAGTTTTTAAATTAAATGTTGCTGAAACGGCAAATTTCTCAGTGGATCTCTGCTCACAAATGCAGCCTAGGTGGAGTAGTCGAACACAGATCCACTGATCCTTYAACACAGAGCATCTTCAGAAGACATGTTGATAAAGTAAATATTTTAAATCTTTATTGTTCAATACAGCACTGTTCGATACGGGTACATGTATTGTTGCACCCCTAATAAATAAATAAATATA